GACCTATAAGTAATGGCGTTTTTTCTCACTCGAAATATCGCGCCAAAGATGAAAACTTTTGCCATAGCTGTTCTTATTCAGTATGTTTTCTTGTGCCTCTCGAGGTTTTTAGGTGGAACAGTTTATTTAAGCGGCCTGACGTTTCGACGTAATCGTCTTTTTCAAAGGCCTAAAAGTGTTTCGAGTTTTAGAGATGTGTACTACCCCGCCAAGCGCCTAATCCACCCCAGCATTTCCGATGACGTGGTCCTAACCCAACCGAGAATCTCCCGCAAAACGAAAGAAACGCTCACCTCTCCCACTTGCGGTGGTACAGAGGTGAGCGTTTCTTTCGTTTTGCGGGAGATTCTCGGTTGGGTTAGGACCACGTCATCGGAAATGCTGGGGTGGATTAGGCGCTTGGCGGGGTAGTACACATCTCTAAAACTCGAAACACTTTTAGGCCTTTGAAAAAGACGATTACGTCGAAACGTCAGGCCGCTAAAATAAACTGTTCCACCTAAAAACCTCGAGAGGCACAAGAAAACATACTGAATAAGAACAACTAACATGCCGAGGTTACAAAATGAGAGAAGCTGGAGACTATGCACGTTATTTCAGCCGCTGGTCCTTCGACTGTGAGAATAGCAGAATCGCAGGAGGACTCAAAGCAAGAAGTTCCAACATTGAACCAAGGTACCACAGACTTTACTGAAATGTTTCCGTTTCCATTTCCAGGCCCTACTTTTTGCAATTTGCATATGTATTCCAGTTTGCCGTTTTTGATTTCTCCCTCATTAGACTTCACACATACATTTCGTTGCCGTTTTGAGCGAAAAGCAATGTAAGGGTATGGATCGAGCGTTTTGGGGCAAACATCAGTGTTCGAGGAGTTTGAGCATTCCGCTCGTTTTGAGCGGGAAGGAAGGTATGGGCCTCGATTTAGCATTTGAGTGTTTTGAGCTAAAAGGATAGTATAGTTATTGATCGGCGCTCGAAACGCTCGGAACACTTAAAACGCTGACGAAAACTATAAACACACAATAGGCTTTATTCACCTTTCTATTCTTCACTTCTTTGTAGGTTATTCCTCAATGGGTGACAGCTTTCGATTTTTGTGAGCTTCCTTTCCTGTTTTTGTTTCGTTACGCAGATCGCAACGTGGTCCTATTTAAGCGCGGGAAGGGGTTCGTATGCCCAACTGTTCCTCTGTTTTCCTGTTCGACGCGTGCTATTACACCCCCGTTCAGCGGCGAAGTTTTGAGATTTTGGTACAAAATCGGTAAGTGGCTCGCGAACAGAGGTGCTACCAGAGGAGGAAAATTTCGGGGTCGTATTTTTCAAATGTAAATCTCCCTCCTCCCGTTGCGATGACGCGCCTTAGTTGTCACCGCAGCATCGAGTTTGCCACCACTAATAACACACAACTTGCTTTCACCAAAGGTTACGGGTGTCATTCCTTGTTCGCGGCCGTAGTAAAGTAGTGGTAATGACAAGACAATCTTTGCAAAATCTATGGAAAGGCGCATTGTTCTGAAAAGAGCGATGTCTAATCACACGATCAATTTGCGAATGATTCAGAGCTGGTCCACCGTCACCACTCAATTCAAACGTTGTACGGTGTGGATGATTCGACGAAAAGCGATGATGGTCGGCAAGAAATAAGAATCGACGCTTCGGAATATGCTGATGGTTCACGGGAGACTAAAGAATGTATCACATATTTATTTTAGCCAACTTGTTAGCCCTAGTTTTCTATTCAGTTCGGTACTTCTTCTGTTTTGAACGGCCTTTTTATTCAAAAACACAGACCGCTATTGTTTAATATTCACAATCCCTTACAACAAACCCGGTCCATAGGAGGGTTGTGCCTTTTGTGCGTCGAAAGAGGGTGACAGGAGAGCTGGGACTGTTGTTTGTCGTAGCGATTCCACCCATCAGTAGTGGCTCCACCCAGAGATAAATCTTTTGCTCCTCCACATGGTCGTTAGTAAGCAACCAACTACACAAAGGAGGTCCTTATCTAGAGCGGGCTGTGGTTTCGTCATACTTTCACGGAGTGGAGTCAATTATCGCTACAAACTTGTATTCGAACGTTATTACTCGTGTTTTGCAATTGCGGAATGTGTCTTTGAGTCCTTGTTGTTGGTTTTTGTAACGGCAGGACTGATATCATATCAGCGTGACCTACCAGGATGTGGTCACATCCTATGATGCTTATAGGACCTTGATAAATAGCAAGAGGTTGAAAACTGTGATCTTACCCTTCTTGAGACTATGCGACGGGGTTTTTTCTTTGGTTTTCGCAACGGAGCACATCATTGTAGAGGAAACGCAGACGATGGGAGGAGGGGGGGGGGGGGGGCTAAAGTCTAGTCCTCGTAACAGCGGTCCCATTTGAGATGACGGTTTTCTCGGTGTTTTGAAGTTTTCCCCCAACCAGAAGATGCGCACTGGATTCATCACAGCCAGACCATTCATAATTGATTGGCCTTCCGTTGGAGAATTTATATCGATCTCCGATTTTGTTTAGTCATTTTAATATGCCCTGAAAGCGAGTATTGCTCACCTTTCTTGCTCAAAGTGGCTTTTTCTAAGGCAACGGGCCTTAAGTTCATTTCATAGTTTAATAAATATTTACGGAATATGTGATTCTATCTTTTAATGAAGATGTTTGTGCTTCTGCATATTTCTCACATATTTTGATTTGCGCGCTCTATATCCTGAAGACTGGGTGGGCGTGGTGGCGATCTTCATTTGAACGTGGCAGTGGCAGCGTCTTTGTTGGCATATGCGTTCGCACAACTTCAATCGTCCCTATGCGGTTTGATTTTGTCCACCGCAACACAGGATGGCAGTTGTCTTAAGCAGAAATATTCCACCCTGCGCCATATTAAAGTGAAGTAGGCAGCCACGCCCACTGTATCCAGGATATGATGTGCGAATATTTCCATCTTTTCATTCTCTATTATATTTTGCAGAAATGCCACCGCTCGATCGGCAGGTTCGAGTGTGTATTTTATACGAATTCAAGCTGGGAAATGTCGCTAACTTAGCATATTTGAATGTTAATCGAGCCTTTGGTGAAGGAACAGTCTCAAACGCTATTGTTCATCGATGGTTTGCCAGATTTCAAGAAGGAGATGAAGACCTGGACACTGAACCAACTAAGGAATTCGACATTAATGATGAAACGATTGAAGAGGATCCAGCTACTGTTGAAGCTCTTTTGTCAAAACAATATGGAGTCCCGCCGGGAACCCTCTACACTCATTTAGATAGGATGGGAAGAGGCGAGAGGTTACATGAACTGGAACCTGAGGTAGGTTGAAAATATTTCTTGCTTTTCTTTCTTTCATTTAATCCCACCGTGTTTTGTAGCTTTCCTTCCTCAGCGCTTCTTGCTTTACTTACAGGAATCTAGCGTACGAGGAAAGTGCCGAGTTTTAGTCAGTTAGGTCGGTCGCGCACCCCACACCTCGCACCCCAGCCACTGGATTACAAGTTAAAGATGATTCGCGCGATCAAGTGTTACTAGAACTTAATGCTCAGTCATGAACCAGAGACCCATAAGTAGCTCCTCAGTAGAAAAAGAAGCGGAAAAAAACCTTGGCAACACCCTAAACACCAACCTCCTCTCAACAGTGGGGCGTCGTCTTGGATGAGTATATCGAAAAAGAAGGACTTTGACGGCATTTACGAAGGTCTGAAAACAAAATTTAGCCTATTTTGAAAAGGTCGATGGAAAAGCTGGTTTGATATCAGAAGATTAGGGTAGTAACGCTTGAATAGTGCCCCATCTAAAAGATCATTGGGTGAGTCTGAGAAACATTAATCGCTCTTCGTTCCACATCCTCCTCGTTGAAATCGCCCTTGCGAAGAGTTGGTACACGAACTACCTGCTCTTCAGTTCACGTCCTTCCCATCGCTTGCAGAGTATGAAACTCAAGAAAGGCTTGCTGCTCTTTTGTTCACATCCTCCTAATTGGAATCGCGCTTGCAAATACTGTGGAACTCTAGAACAGCCCAAGCCGTCTTCAATTTATGTCCAACGGTGTTTATTGCACTTAATCGCTATGGAAAGCGCGGATCACCAAAGATGGCAAAGTGCCAGAAGCGCCGCGCGCGACACGTGCCGCGCGGATGTTGTAGGAATAGAAGCTTGTGAGCCGTTGTCTCGTACAGCTACAGTATGATGTTGCACGCGTTGCAACGCTCACGTGTCTCTATAGTGTAGTTCGCTGAACGGTTGGGCGTGTCAGGCGGGATAAGTTTGGCGCGGTGCCAAACCCGTTCTCCACCAGTTGAGCGAGCAAATGATATGACTGTATCATATCGTTCGTATTACTCGTTTTCTACCACTTTTTGTCGCATGCGCGCTTCAACAAGAAGGCAGAGAACGGCTTTGACGGCGTGACACACTCATACTGCCTGACACGCCCCACCGCAGCGAACTAGAGTGTAACTCCTTTATCTCGCCGTTTTGAGGGACAGTGGTACTTCTCTGTGGAAGCGTATAACAGTTCCAAAGGCACGGAGTCATTTTGAGGACCACTTGGTCGCGGGAAGTGTCTTCAAGGAAAACAAGCGGAATACAGTCCCTGAGACTGCGCGTAGAACTGAGTGCGTACGAGTAGCCAGTGCAACAACACCATTCAGTTTTGGGTACGTGACCAGAGGATCGGTTCACCGCGCTAGTGGGCGTCGCGTGCGACGTCGCGCCCGCAAATGACGATGGTTCCAGGTAGTAGATGGCGACAACAGGCAATTCAGAACCGAAAATAGTCATGAATGTCTACGATGACGGGGTCTACATGAAGTCCGGTGCTCCAATCGACAGGTTAACACGAGTTAAGAAAACGCCGCGCCCGTCGCCGCGCGCGGCGGAGCGACAAATTACGATTCTGTTGCCCGTCTCCCTTCAGTTTAAGCCTAGGCAGCCTAAGTGCCGATGTAAAGCGGTATCAGCGTCTTTTCGCTCTGGTCTCACCACGGAGCTTCCTTGTATGTGTTCACGCGGCCGACACATTTAATTTATCGCACAATTTAAGGAGTGTTGTATCCCGTCTGTTTTCCTGTACTTTTGCACTGCGCCATTATTCTTTGCGACTGGGATAAGAGATTAGGAGAATGTGCGCTGGAAACAAACATAAGTATAGCCATTTTTACTGACGCCAGTCGGGGCGTGTCTTCGGCGCATGGTGTTCGGCGCGGCACCAGTCCCGTTTTCCGTCGATCGTTCCTTCGAGCGACAAGTGGGTGGCAAGAAAGGAGCTAGCACCACGCTCGAACCTGTGCGACGCTGATACGCCCCGACTGACTCAGTGGCAAATACCGTATCAATCTGGCGAAACAGAAAAATAGGAGCTATAGGCGGACCCGAGGAGTAGGTGTTGATCGATCGATTCTCATCTACTCCATTGTCTCCCGTTATCCTATCCCTAACCTCGTCTTCTTATAGTTTCCAAATTACCAAGAATCGGCATTTTCATTTTCCTTTTGCGCGTTCTACTAAACCCCTGCTCTTCTTCTATGATCCCGAGTCGAAAAGTATGAACGCGAGTAAAGCAAGTAAACACCGCGGTGAAGTGTACTTGGTAAGAGACGAATCCTGTGACATTGTAATGTAGATATGAAAATATAGAAAATAGGACATGTCATTCTTCTACCTGTGAGGTAGTTTCAGAGGATCTCTTAATCGCTGTAATTTACAGAGGTTTGGTTTTACAGGATTTTGGCCTACCACGAGCCCCTCATCCTTCCTCAGCAGTGCGAGATCCAATAGGTATAAATTTTCTTCTAGCTCTTTCAGCGCTCATACCATCAGATTGGTAAGACCAAACTGGGAATTCAAGAAGAAAACATTTTCAGGGGATGGGACTAGCCGAATTTTCTCAGCGAATGGACATGTTCGAATTATTCCTCCTATACCTAAGAAAGAGGAGATTAAATTGGAAATACCTGACGGTTATATCTTGCTTCTTTTTTTTACTTCTGTGGAATGTTTCCCTCTCGATGAGATTTGAAAAAAAAATCGTTTTCAGAGTGTCCAGACGATCTGACGATCAGGGATGTAATAAAAGCTAAAAATCACGAAGAACGAGTTTTGAGGAAACTTCATTCAGCTGGTTAGTTCGTCTTGTATTGCCCCTTTTTCCGGCACCCCTCCGCTCTACTCTTGGGGGTCGGCATTCCCTGTGAGCAGTCGATCCCACAAGACACAACTTTTATTAAAGCGGCTTGGCCCTATGTAATTGTGCGTTCCCTCCAATAAATGTGGCGTAGACCAATCGTTCCCCAAATCGTTTCGTAGAGGAACTAAACAATTTCATTGGATAACGGCTATGATGACAAGTGATAGCAGTTTAACAAAAAAATACAACATTGACGGAGATCCGTCGACTAGCAAGAGATCGGTCTAGCGGGGCGGCAGAAATATTCATCGATCGAGCAGAAGAGAGAGTTACTGCTTCGCTGGCCCCTTTTCTATCGAGCCTCCGTGCCTTCCCATCCACCGAGGGTTAGCTCTCCTCCTCTTGATCATGCAAATTACAAAGCTCGCCCTTTGCGGATCAACACTGCTTTTTTATCTACTTAAAGAGGTAACTCATCACCAGACAGTTTGGATGGCTTACTAGAAATATATAAGCCAACAATGCTCCACGAACCTCACATGTCGGCTTTAAACGTCACATTCATCGAAAACTTGTCCCG